GGTCAAGTTCTGGTTCTGCCAGTCACAGTCCTGACCAAGCTGACTTTTCTTTCTGAGCCTCAGTTTTCATCCAGGAAATGGGAACAATTTTCCATCACTACGTCATGGAGTTGCGAAGCCACAAACAGGATGTGTAAAGCGCTTAGCTCAGGTCCTGCATTGTGTGGTCCCTCTGTGTATCTTAGCTACTTTTATCATTATTACTTGATGACTTCCACTCTTAAGAAGAGAATGAATAATCATCTAAGTAGGTTTATCGTATCTCGTTTGTGTTCTAGCAGCCCTGTGGTGAGGTGGGGCAGGTAGCTGCCATGATCCCCATTTTACAGGCAGAGAAACTGAGGCCCTGAGAGCTGGTGTGACGAGCCAGCGTCACACAACCAAGGCCCCCTCTGACTCTGAGCCCTGCTCTGCCGAAGCAGCTCTGTTTTTTTCTATCTGATCAATCTACCTAAGATTCGTTTTAAAGAAAGAATTCTCAGTTTGGAAGGGTCTGAAAACCACTAACTAGTCCAGGGCTGCTGAGTGTGGTGTATGGACCAGCAGCCTGGGCAGCACCTGGCAGCATCTCAGAAACGCACAATCTCAGGCCCCGCCCCAGACCACCCGAACCAACGAGATCCTAGGGGAGCTTTTCTCAGCCCGCTACGCTTTGCAACGTTCTGTGCGGCCTGGCACCCCCAACCTTACTCTGCTCCGGCCACACAGGCCGGGGTGCAGTCTCCCAGCCACACTGCTCGGCCCTGCTTCTGCCCCTTCCCAGGCTGCTTGAAATTTTAATATTTAACGCCTGTCTCCTCTGACAAAAGAAAAGCTCTGAGGACAGGGCCTGGGTCTGTCACTGCAGTATCTCAAGTACTGACGCACGAAGAGGCTCGGTGAGCACTGCTGATATGGTAACATGCATAAAGTCGGGTGTGTTTAACATAGGTCACTAAAACTACCTTGAGTACACTAAGGTGTCTTCGAAAATACCAATAATTTCCTCGGTGTCTATTCCTGGAGCCTCAAGGGGCTCCTGACAATGGATGGAAGGAAAGAAATAGGGCATAAAAAAAGGATAAATAAATATGCAAAGAATCAAGATTACTGGGGAGCCGGGAGGAGGCCGCAGGGGGTCCTGCTTTGCTGGTGGGTGCAGAGCAGCTGACCCGTGGTGTGACTCCGGGCGCGGGCGCTCACCAGTGGGTTCTTCCTCTGCCACTCTGGCCCCAGAACCTTGTGCAGTGCTAGGAGGGGGCGCTGCTGCCAGGCCTGAGAACCGAGTGGAAGCCGGCCCTGCACAGCTAGCACCTGGGCCGAGAACACTCACCTTGAGCACGATTTCGTTGATGGTAGCAGCGTCAGACTCGAAGTAGAGGTGTTTATAGTCGTGATTGCTTAGATACGTGAGTTTAAATATTGCGTGACCTGGAGAGAGAGAGAGAAAAGGCCGTGTTGAGGGGGTTCTGGTGGGTTCCCTGTGCGGAGGGCCCACACTTATTCTCCTCTTATTCCAATGAGAGCAAGTGGAGGCGGCGTGGTGACGAACTCTTCACAGGAGGAGTTCGTTTCTCTTAGCACAGGCCGGGGAGCAAATGGACAGTAAAAGAAAAAAAAAAAAAAAATCCAACGGCCAGTGAGTGAGGTCCCGTTCCACTCTGGTGTGTTCTTAAGGAGACCATTTCTTTTTCTCTTTAAGCTATTTTAAAGCTGGCCACGTCACATTAGGAAGGCTTTACAGAACACTTCTACACGATAATTATATGGAAAAGGTGGTATTTTTAAGACAGAAGGCCAATTAACTCCAAATTATGACGCTAAAAATAACTTCTTAGAGGCAAATGAGCAACAGGAAGAGGCAAGCCTGGTCGTAAGGTGGTTATGAGCCTTCTCCACGGGCGGCCCTGGCTCCTGCTGGGAGGGGGTGTCCTAGGCTTGTGACCCTGAGTGGAAACTGCTCCGAAGGTTGCTATGGAAGCTGGCACTTCAAAAAGCAGACCGACCTCAGGGGGTCAGATGTCCCCCGAACACACAAATCTCCCCTAGATCCAAATTCTCTCATACCCACTTCCTACCGCCATTGAGAGTGACCTTGTCGTTTCTAGACTGCTTCCTGGTCAGGTGTCACCTCACTCCACTGCCTTCACATGACACAGGCCAGCCCAGAGCACTGTACACCCCCACCTGCCCGTCTGGATCCTAGATGACCGGGCTCATGGCACCTCCCTGGGTGAGTCTTCGTGGCTACACTTGTAGGCATCCTTCTCGTGTGACCTCCTGCTCCATATCATGACACCTGCAGCTGTGTCTGCACTCCCTGTTCCTGTCCTGCGGGCCACACATGCCAGGTTCCTTCCTCTAAACTGAGACGCAGATGCCAGCCTGTCTCAGGCCAATGTGGAGCTGTCCCTGTCCCGTCAGCTGGGTTCTGGGAGACCTCGGTGGCCCCTCCTTCTTAAGGAGAACGTTTCTTTTTCTCTTTAAGCTATTTCAAAGCTGGTTTTCATTACTGGCAACCAAAGGAGCATTGTTCCTGAGGGACAGAGAGTCAGTGCTCAGCAAATGTTCCCAGACAAAGGAGCAGCTGGTGACATCTCTCACCTAGAGGCTTCCGGCACACAGCCCCAGAAACAACCTCGCCTAGTCCGCTCTGTGGACCTCAGTGCTTAAGGATTAAAATTCAGAATGTCCTTTCTATTAGGCCTTCTCGTCTGCTGTCCTTTTAATTGAAGCGGCGGCTGGTCACAGTTATTAATTAATAATATATCACCCACATTACTGTAAGTTCACCTCTTTCCCGGAGAAATCTTCTTGGGGACTTTATTTACAGTAGCTAATTCTTCAGATCTCCAAAAATAAACTGATATATGTTGTACATTTGTGGCCAGAAAAGTTGAGCTGCTGGTATTTCATCCTGGAAACATCATTATGATATACTAATTGTGACTATAAATTCCATATCGAAAAAATTAGCTAATAATTTCTGAAAAACCTCACTTTTTAGTCACTTGACAAATTTAGCCTGATTCTAAATTGTGGTACTAAAGTGTCAGAATTCTTAGCTGGGAGCTAATTGTTCTGTTAATACCTGTTTCTGATAAGAAAGGGAATCGCACATAAGCAGAGGTATCTGTGTGGGTTCATTCGCCTGTCTCGGAGCAACAGTTCTGTGGTGTCACCGTGTGGAAGAACAATGCGGATGTATCTGTTGGCCACGCTGTGAGCAAGCAGAACCATCTATGAGGGTCACGGGGCTGTGAAGGACAAACAGAGACACCCCCTCCAGGAGGCCTTACTGCTGACACCTGGCCACGACAGACACAGACTTCGGGGCCTGGGGCTAAAAAGGACCAGAAGGTCTTAGGGAGGCCTGTAGACCTGAAGCTTCGGGGTTCACTGACCACTTAGATAAGTGACCTCATGGACTGTCTACACCACCTGCTCCCGCCTGTCACTGACAAAACCAAACCTCAAGATGCTAGAGCATGTTTCGCTTGAACAACTGAGACACCAATAAAAACTCTTCCTGTGTGCTTCAGGTAGAGCCAACTCTATACACGGCATATGTGATACGCAGTCTGCACGGGCCCGGGTTTCTGGAAGGCAGCCTCGACACTGTCCCCCTTGGAGTGTATCAACTGTGGGTTCACTGAGGGGGGTTCTGCGGTTCATCTGTACAAGTCACATGAAGAAACAAAAAGAAATCACCCCAAGTCTCCTGGAAGCTGCACATGTGGGCCAGGTGACCACAAGCATACCACCTTCTGTATTTTGCTGTGCTGGGGGCTGTGTGTCCCCCTTGCCTGTCCCCAGCGCTCATACCAGAGCCCACGAGGAAGAGACAGGAATGAGGAGGTCGTCGCGCGCCTCCTCTCCCCCTGCCGCCCCGCCATCGCTCTGAAGCCTCTGATTTATTTGTCCTCTCCAGCGATGGCATTGAGATCACTGAGAGAACACGGAGAACGTTTCCTGGAGGACTTGAATTTGAATTTCACCGAGGCAGCCCTTTGGTGACTAGTATAGATGTTAATGACGGGGTTAAGGTGGTGGGATGGCCACAGCAGACAGCACCCTCTTGCTCCGGGAGGGAGAGCTGCAGCGCATAAGCTCAGGTTACTATCAGCAGCCACGTGTCCCCCATGCTGGAGCCACGAGACCCTGGGTCAACGACTCACGCCAGGAGTTGTTTGCTGTGAGGGTTTCCCCCTCGCTCCGGGGATTCTTCCTTTGCTTGGTGACCACAAAGTTAACATTTTGCTTGGTGGCAGTTTTACTCAGTTCAGGCCCTGCCGGGGGCACAGGTGATTGGTCTGGTGGGGGAGGCGTCATCAGAGACACCCGAGCAATCAGCCATCGTAGATGAGGAAGGGGAGTCAGCTGGGTTAAGGTGGGGGCTGGAGGAGGAGGCAACAGGGTCAGGATAAAGTGGACAAATGTACAGGGCCACAGGGGCAGCCAGGAGGTGACAGGGGCAGGGCCAAAGGGCTGGGATGGCCGGATCCAATGGCTGAGGGAGCCGGGAGTGGGTTGCAAGCTGGGCAGCGACGTGAAAGGCCGAGCTGTGCTTCTGGGCGTTCACCCCGGCTCTCCAGGGCCTGGGGGCAGGGAGACCGGTGCCGCGGTCACCCAGGTCGGAGTGTATTCGGCTTTGAGCTGAAAAGGGGCAAAAAGGATGCTGAGAAGAGGGCTGACTTGAGAACGATAGAGAAGGGAACCCCGGCAGGCTTTGGGGATTCTTTTACAACAGAATAACAGTTAACGGCAGAATTCACACTTGCAGAATTGTACCCCGTCCAAAAGCTATATATTAAAGTGTAACAAGTTAATTGACCTCTTGCTGGAAACGAATCTATCAATAAAGACGAGTAATTTATGCTACGTGGTAAATTTCCACCAGGGGTGTCTGGGAAGAAGGGATCACTGGCATTTCAACATCCAATGAACAAGGGAAGAACATGGAATAAGAAAAGTCTGTTAACTTTATCGGTCTCAGGCACCTCAAGGCTCCCCTCAGGGAAGGGAGAAGAGGGGTCAAATGACCTCCTCGCTGCAGCTTCCAGGGCGTCTGTCCTGGAGTGTCACAGGGAATCAGAGCTGGGCAGAACACCAGCAGTTTTCATAAAAATGGGGTGGGCCACAGGGGCAAACTGTCTCTGTAAATGTGTCAGCTGAAAAAAACTTAAATATCAGTATGATTGAAAAGAAAACGCAAAGTCTAATATTTCAATTAGCTCAAATTATTTTGCTTGGACTGTTCAGTTCTATTTGGGAAGTAAGGCGTGAGAAAAGCCTGGGCTGCAGAGAACAGCATGAGCGCTGGGGTCAGAGGGAGGACGGAAGCCCAGCCCGGCCGTGTCCTAGCGGTGGCACCTGGGCGAGGCGCTGGTGGCCCTCCAGAAGCCACGTCTGCCCAGCTGTACGGGAGGTGGCGGTACAGGCCAGGCGTCCCACTTCACGCCTGGACACAGCAGCAGGGGCTCAATGGACGGTGGCGATCATTCTTTCAACTGATGGAGCTGATATTTGAGGATAAAATCCTCATGAAGGTTTTGTTTTTCACTGGGCCTTCTTTGAGCAGACTTGCTTTTACTGTGCTGTAGGAATAAATGCGGTGTCTTGCGCTATCAAATGTGGCCCCTAAGCACTGGTCACATGCCCGGGACAGATACCAAACTACACATCTGCTCTGAATACTGCCAGGAATCTGGATACGTAAAAATGTATTTACATTTTTTTCCCCCAAAAGAAAGCACAGAAGATGGAATGTTAACTCTGAGCAGAAACTAACAAGCAGCACGAATGTCAGAAGTGGAGACGGTCGAGCTTTTGTGCTCTAATTTATCTTCTTAAAAAAGAGGCTGCTGAAAAAATGGGTTCCCCTGGTCACTTGCAGGGAGTGGCCACTCTGAAGCTGCTATTACCACAAGGGGACGGACAGCTCAGGCCAAGACAGGCAGAAGCGTTCACATCTTGCTAGAGGCGCTCCCAGATACACACTGCCAGCGCGACAGAGGTGGCTGCTGGAAAGGAGGCCCCTTCGAACACTGCCCGCGGTTGGGCTCCACGTCGAGCCTGCAGCCCGCCGTGTCTAAAGCCCCCAGGTGTCCCCACTTGCCAAGAAGGCCCGAAATAAACTTTTCTTTTTCAATTAAAAAATTATAAATTACTAGAAATTTAGAAGGCAAGAAGACATAGCAGGGGCTCAATGGACAGTGGTGGTCATTCTTACAGCTGACACCAAATACTGACACTCTGGCATGACACCCACGACCTCTTCCCTAGCTATTCTCACACGTGTGTTTTCGCACAGCTGGAATCTGATTGCATACTAAAATCTGGGGCTAAATTTTTTAGTTAACACTCAACCATAGCTCTTTCCTTGTCGCTGCGGTTTCCACAGCCATTTTTCAATCGTTGCGTTTCATTCC